CCTACACCACCGTCCTAATAATTTTATTTCTCCAAACCCTCAATTCTGTTGAATAGAAAGTCTTGAATTGGGGAGGAGCAAACCATAAGATACAGAGTCTTCAGTCTGCACCAGGTACTTTCTTAATATTTTGAATTATGAACTGCAGAAGCTAGGTCAAAGCTCTAGAGACTTCAGAGTTGGGCTGAGATTGTGGAACCAGGAGATCAGAACTGCCTGGGCCAGACTAGTGTTAGCAGGGTGATGGTACTGTCTGCAGCTTTATCTTGTGCAGCTTTCAAAAGACAGAGAAAAATTTGGAGAAAAAGAAGTATGAGCTTTCCTGATGAGAGGAAGTGGAAGACATCTTATAGTAAGCCTGGGCAAAAAGAAATAAAGGTTCTTCCCTGTGGTAGAGAGGCAAATCTGAGATCAAGTCATGGAAAGGGCACTGAGCATGTACAGTTCCTCTCATTCTGAGAGGCTAGGATTATTCACTAGAATACGCAGAGGTATTTTTTTATGGAATTTATGTCTGTTTTGGAAATTGCTGATGCTTAACATGATGTACTGGTATCTATCAGCAGTCTTAAGGAGTTATAAAATTCTATTGGGTTTTACACAAAATCTGAGAAGGATACTTGGCCAACCTTTTATTCACACAGTTGACATCTACACAGCTAAATTCTCTCCTCATCTTGACTGTTTTTGCCTTGCCTGTAGCCCATGCTACCTCCCATATCGCGTCAGTTTGAAACTGGCTGCTGGCTTATTCCAGTCCCGTGCTACAAGCTGGCTAACAATTAACCAATGTGGACAACGTGTCAGTTCTCTGGCTCCCTTTTGTACTGACAGTCGCAGTTTCTCAGAACCTGTTTGGATTCCACCATTATAAAATCATCTGATGTAGGAATCTTGTCAGGCTCCCACTTTTGGCATTTAAAGTTTCACTCACAGCACTTGCTTAGGAGTTGCCACAGCTTCATGAATCAGTCCAGAGTTGTCTTTAGATTTCCTTAACAACAGTATTACAGTCATAGTCTTGATGGATCTGCATTTGAATGTGTCAGTTCTTTTTTACATGAACACTTCTGAGCTGGGCTGCCATCTATAGGTTCACATATTTCAAAGGTGCTTACCAAAAGACGTGGCATATGTCAGGTACTTGGATAGCTTACTTAGTAGAACATGCCAAAATAAATTTCTGATGGTCTAATTAGTTAATATTTTGCTCTAAATAAATTTGGTACACACGGTTTCCATCACCTAGTGCTGTTTTTCAGAAGTTCTGGAGTAATGCAAAATTTGTGCTTTATCTGCATTCAGAAAGACTGACTTTTGAGAGCTCCTCCACATTATTTCAGCAGTCTATACTCAATGCAGACTGATGCAGAAGCTGAGGATGAAGAGTGAAGGCTGATGCAAAGCTGGAAAGGGGCAAATATCTCTGGGTAACAAATACTTTCATATATTTTTCTTCCCTTTTTTTCTATTTTTTTTTTTTTAAGGCAGCACTTTTCTACCAGTGTGTACGCTTCTGTCAGCTTATGGAAACTATATGGCTGGTCAGCAAAAACAGGTGCACAGAAATTGAACTAAGAAAAGCATCTGTGCTTAGCAAAGAACATGACTAAAAAACAGAAAGGAGACTGTAAGATCTCTAGCCACAGAGTATCAACAAGTGCTGCTTAGTATTTTCTTAGAATATACAATAATATTATTTCCTCTTTTTTTTATTTTTTCTTAACAAGCAGATAAACTACTGCTTTACAAATTTTAAAATGACTACCACATAAATGCAGTGGAACTTCGTCCAGGTGGTTTTTACCTCACAAGTATCTCTTTGGTGTTAGTTCAGACAGTTTTCTTCAGTGGCCTTTCATCTTTCTGAAACATGCAGACCTTTCCTTTCCCTGCATACTCTGTCTTTTGACCTTCTAAGGTTGAGAGTTAACAGTTTTTTAAATGCATACATACTATATGCTTACAAAAGAACATTTTTTTTTCCTGTATGAGTTGCTTTTTCCTATAGGAAAAATGTATCTCAGTCAATGTTGATCTCTTTCTTGTCTGCAGTGTAGATAAGATAGCTGGATGAGAGAGAGAAATTAAGTCACTTACAAAAATGGATTTGCCACAGTGAACTATGCAGTCAGGCCATACTTATATCAGAGACAAAATAAATTACAAGGTAACACACAACCTTATGCAAAACACAGCCTTCCTCTTCCATCGGCAGGAATAGTACTTTGGTCTTAATCTTAAAAATGAGACGTTAAAGACAGGATGCACAGGGTAATGATGAAAAAGGATGGTATTATTCAAGTGTCATTACACATTAGAGATAATAAAATAAAAATTGGATCCACGAGTAATGAAAAAGTATACCTGGCTTCACCAGTGTCACAGATTAAATATTTTAGAATCATAGCAGGTTTTTCTAAGTACTAGAAATTTTTTTGTATTCAGATTATCTCACTCGACCAAATCTTATCATCTGTTTCTTATTTATAACATGAGGGATAGATATATTCATCTGAACCGATTATCCTCAATTCTCTTTACAGTCAGTCAAGTAGAATATATATTTTAGGGGTACATCTGACTTATTCGTAACATCTATATTGGAATGACATGAACTGTACCCTAGAAAGGCCTATTTCTGCGCAGGGACTATAAAAGGATACATGATGACTAGCATATACAAAATTACCTGCATTAAAGATGTATATTTAATGCCATGGATTCCCCTTTTCCTGTGAATTTAGGAAGAAACCCCAGGTTGTCACTGTAAAACATTTCTCAAATTTCTGTTAAGCTCTGATTTAGCCATCTCTCAGGTAGTGTAGGTTTGTCCCCTGCACTGTACTTTTTCACTTCTTTTGAATCACTCAAACAAATGAGCCTTTTCCTATTTTCACAGTCTACCTACCCTGCATTCAGACACATTCCTTACTTCTGACATACAGAAGTTTCTGACAGTACACTATCATTTGTTCTGTATCATCCCATTAAATTTAGTCGCAAACAGTTCCTTTAGACTCAGTCATTGCTTTAGCATGAACAAAACACGCTTTCTCTGTATTCTCTAGAGGAACCCACCAAACTCTGCACCAGCAACAGAGCGACACTGGAGCATGAGTCCAAGACGCAGGAACATGTTACTGCCTTTGGACAGAGTATATTGTGTCAGCTGAGCTAGGGTAACTCTCTGTACCTCAGCGTTTGGCCTGACAAGTGACACGATGGTGTAGGTTTATACTGCTTCTATTGAGGGCTGAGCTCAGTGCAGGATCTCCTACCTGCCATAGTGATGTGTAGACAACCACAGCTCAGTTAATGTACCACAATTTGTTACCCTATCATGTTGATCAACATGTTTTGATCATGAATCAATGCCCTAAGAAGGAATTCTCTTGAGAGAGAGGAATTATCCCCATGGGCTTGAGTATCTTGATATTTCAGGGTTTGTTTTTTTTTGCTACTGCCCTGAACTGATCGCTGAAATATCTATTTTACTGTCTATTATTACTCAGGTTTGTTCAGCATACTGGCTTTCACACTCCACTTCTCTCTGAAGATCGGTGTTCTAAATTGGTTGCCTCTAGAGGGAGATTAGCTTGGATTTTTCAAAATAAAATCCTGTCTTTTGGGGTTACATTAACCCTCCTAATCCCCTTTATACTCTTTTTTCTTTTTTTTGCTATGCAATTCTCTCTAATTTGGTAGTGCCCTTGGAAAAAAATGTTGCTTATTCCACTGTTTCAGATTCTTAATGGATGTTAAGAAAAACAAGATTCAATACCAACTAATACAGCACCTCTGCAACAATTAACTTTCTCCAAGTTCATATATTATAGTGACATCAATTAGCCTTAACTTGCTTTCATTCCAAATATAAACATAAAAATACTGTATTGACTATGTGAATCTACAGATATTAAAATCATCTTACATTTATTATTTCTGCAAACTGATAAAATGTTACTCTATATCTTGTTCTAAGGATTTGTACATTTTCTAATGACAAACACTTGGCATATGCAAACAGTAAAGCTTCACTTCCCCACCTCTAGTCTTCAGAAGGAAAGTAATTAATATTCTTGTATTTTTTCCTTTGAAGCACAGAGTAAAGTACATTAGTGACATATGATTGCCTTTAGTGCAACAAAGACTTTTAATTAAAGAAATTTAATCATTATTATGCTCATCTCAAAGCACTGAAGAAAATTTGTTTGGCTAAAATGTTAAAAGCTACAAAATTACTTATCACTGTCAGAGTATTAAGACCTCTTCTGTTGTTCTTGCTTCCTTACAGGTAAGTCTTGACTCTCTCCTTCCAGTGGTGTGTGTTCAAGCTTACTCTGTCAGATTGGTCAGCAAAACTAAGTTGCTAGAAGATATTTTTTTTAAAACTGAGAAAAATATACTCTGAATCTTTTTTTTTCCTGTCACGAAAGAAAAAAACCAACTGCTGTACAACACTTTTACAATGAAGGAAAGAGAGGCAAAATGGCTTATCAAAACCAGTAAAGAGCTAAATGATTGCTCTGAATTTTGATCTACCTTAATGAGAGTATATATATATATATAATTATATCTCAAGCTTGATGCAGACACCATATAAACTATTATGAGGTGAAATGTCTAGAACTGTTCTAGTTTTACCCTTGTACAGAGGTGGGACCATTGACACTCAAAACACAAAAAGGAAAGTACAACGTTAGATTTTGCCTAGGATACTTAATTGCAGACACACTTTTCCACCAATGGTGTTACCTCCCACAATTTCCAATCTAGCACACAAGGATGTAGTGAGTATATGTATGTCTTATGGTTTAGAACCTTTTACACACATTTTTGTAATTGTACAGACTTTCCAAACTTACCTCCTCTATGGATAATCAAAGAAGTTTCACTTCCAACAGGACATTCTTTAAGTATATCCACTACTTCTGCATGGCTCAGGTTCTGTACATTCTGCTGGTTGATCTCAACAATGAGGTCACCTTCACACAAACCAGGACATCCCTGAATGTCTAGAATTTGCTTCACCCTCTGTCCTGTAGGACTGTCTGCTATAGTGAAGCCAAAGCCCTGGGCCCCTTTCACAATGGTTAAGGTCATGAGTTCAGCTTGGGTGGCCCCAGAAGAAGCCATTGATACATTATCATCATGGGCAGGTGGTGGGAATGTGCTATCAAGCTGACTATCTGCTGGAATGGAGTGCAAGGAGTGTGGTGGTCGATCTGTTACGTCTGGAACAGACTGAGAAGTCCTAGAAATGTATTCCAAATAAGTTTCATAGTTATGTCTTCCATTTACCACTACCGGAGGCCTCTCCATTACTGCAAGGGGTGGCACCATGCTGTTGGCAGGATCTTCAGGATCAAAGGGCAAAGGGTATCCACGACATAGCACCAAGTTGACACTCTGACCAATAGGAACAGACTGGAAGAGTTTGACTACATCTGCGTGAGTATGTCCAAGGACACAAACTTCATTAATATAGACAATGACATCACCTAGAAAGAGAAGAAAAACAGAGACATCATCAGTTACTGTATGTGCAGTGCAATTTATTTCATGTGGTAGAACTCTACTAAAAACTAAATAGACTCACTCAAATAGTGGAGACAAGAAGTGAAGTTTGTCTACCAGCAAATATAATACAAATAGACAGTGACAGTACTATTTCTTTCCTGTGGAAGCTCACAGCTGGAGAATTAACCTGGACCAAGACACACCTTTTCTTCATATTTCTTCCCTATTTTTTGAGTCCTTTCAGTGTAGTCCATAGATTACTTTTTTATAAGTTACAGTGGAATTTTATTTGGAGGGCTGGTTGTCAAGAAATACCATTGTTTGGTGAAGAGTAAAGCAGAAAAAAAGGAAATAGCAAGCACTCATGGACTTAATCAGTGAATAGGGATGCAAGACCATGTGTGCATGTACATAAGGAAATATTTTTTCATTGATCATTATATTGGCAGTTTCCTATTAAATGACACCCAGGACTACTACAGTAATTTCTTATTCTAGGCATAAACTAAACTGTATCTTGAATATCGTAAAGACATTTAGTGACATTTTGTTGTAGCCATAATGGTTCAAGGACAATGGCAGGACAAATTTTGTAAGTAAGTATAATAGCATTTTATTAGAAAAGTCTAGGCAAATCCCTGAAAATTAGTGGAATATTTCCAGCTGAAACAGCTGGTCAAATAAAAATAAAGATATTACCTTTACATCCAAAACTTATTCTGTGTATAGTACAGAGTTAACAGTCAGAAGATATAAAAAACCAGAATACTTTAAGTCAACAGGGTCTTTATGGGTCTCGATATTGCTCATGCACCAACCAGCTTGTGTACTAAAAAGTTCAGAAATAAGTTCAAATTCCTTCTTGTTGTTAGGATGGATATAAATATTTATAGCTGTAAATAATTTATTTTGGTACTATTAAGGTTCATATTAAAATAAAAATGAGTAATCAGTACGGAGAATATTCAGAACAGTTTCATGACCCATTGTCAGTTTCCAGTTTAATAAAATAATTTGCATCTTTATAAGAAAGGAGAAAGAGTTTTGGTTACAGAAATCCACATATGAAAATATTTTTCTGAATATCTTATTATTCTTCCATTAACTACGAACAAGAAATTATTTATACAGGTAACACTGTGAGGTGTCTAAAAGTTACATAGTACACTAATTGACCTGTCATAATGTTTTTTAATGATATTTGAAAATTCAGCAATAAAATGGGAATGATTTAGGGAGGATGAGATTTTTTGTATGAAATTGCTTCAAGTGTAGTTATGAAATTACCTCCTTCAAGTACTGCAATTTAAGAGATCTAATCAAGCAAACTGAGGAAAAAAGATCATAATCAAGATGCCAGTGCAAAGGCTGCTTCTGTGTGGCAACAAAAGGCAGAGGCTGTTTCCATGTGAATACGAAATGGTCAGTTCCCACGTGATCAGCCTCTCTAAGAGCCCGACAGTAATTAATTGCACATGAAAAAGTTGTGATTCAGAGAAAGATTTCTTCAGATGATGTCTAGGGAAAAAATGCTAAGAGTTTAAATGTTTGCGAATATTATTCACAGAAACCTCAGGAGCGGTAAATACTGTCTTAAATGAGCATCACAAATCAACTTCAAATTATCAGCAAAAACAGTGAGATCACTTCACAAGCAGTGCTGAAAGAACTCCAATGCTTCTGTCTCAAGCAGCTGAGAGAAAAACAGTTTTTAAAAGTCAAGATTTAAAAGACAAAAAGAATGTACTGTACTAAATTGTTATGGCAATGGCTGCAATTCATTGTGATTTGCTTATGCCCTTTTATAGAAAAATCTTACCTGCAATCTCATCCCTGGCTTCCGCATTAGCAGTGAGGCTGACATTGCTCGTAACTCGACTAATACTGTCGAACCGAGAGCTCTTCAATGCATGCTCCTATTTCAGTAGCTTATGTCTTAAGAATACCCTTGCAACTTTTTAATCTATGCAGTCTTTATTTCCCTGACTGCTGGCAATGCAGATATGTGGTGGGAGGAGACCAATCTGCTTGTTCATCCTCTCTTGCAGTACTTTAGCAGGGTGCAAAAGGAATAATACATTTGTTGTGTTGGGCAAGAAAATCACAGTCTGTTTTCACTCCTTCACTTTATGCATTTGCACAGGTTTAGCTATGATATAAAATTTAATACTTTTCTTATAAATGAGAAAATCAGATAATCTAGTTGACATTACATAGGTCTTCAGTGAAAGAAAATTAGCTTGTGCACAAGGAGTGCAGTCAGGAAATATATAGGCCAAGTAGCCCCTTCACCCACTCTCTAAATAGGCAAAACTGAGCATTAGGTAGTCTTGGGCAAGAACTCCTTGTTCAGAAAATGACCCTGCCTTATCTATCCCTCACAAGATAGCAGAAAGTTCTTCAGCATTTCCTGAATCGACAGTTACAAAGGTCTTTGTGGTTTCTGAGGTACATGAATAGCATGTCTACACACACTCTGAAGTTGTACCTCACAGCTGAACCATTTGCACCCCATAATACTGTACTGTCATATACAGAACATACAGCTGAAGAGTAAGAGAGATGGGGAAAAAGGCATGAGTTACTAAGTTCAGCTCTAAGAAATAGCTACAGTGGTGTTAAACTGGGAAGAAACAGAGTTTCAGATAATGAGACATGAAGGAGGAATAAAAGGGGTTAATATAAAAAAATCCTTCAAATAAATCTCTGTAGGAGTTTCTCCAAATTTAACTCATTTTCCAGGCTGAGCGTTCCTCATTGCGGACACAGAGAGAAGTATCCAGCATTTGGTAGGAAGAGAGAGATAAGTTAAGAGCATTACAGAGCCAGTGCCATGCTAATACAAAGTTCAAAACCTCTCCACTTTAAAAAAACTCCCTGAGAGGCTCCTGTAGCATCTTTTCTGTCTGCTCTCTCCTGCTGCTTCTAATAATAATGGGTGCATATGGACAAGCACAATAGCAATCCCTTTTATAATTCCTGCCTGGTTTTCTAAGCAAGCCGTAATCTGCCTCTAGAAATCACGGCTTCACAGTGAGTGGGTATCTTTGAAGTTATGCAGAACATTTATATTAAGCATCAAACTCTGCTTGACTTTTAGAATTAAACCTACTAAAATGACTGGAGCTTGCTTACAGAATCACCAAATGATTGAGGCTGGATGGGACCTCTGGAGGTCATCTTGTCTAAACTCCTTGCTCAGACAGGGTCACGAGTTGCCCAGGATCATGTCCAGATGCTGTTTGAGTTTCGCAAAGGAGGGAGACTCAACAACTTCTCTGGCCAACCTGTGCCAGTGCTTGGTCACCTGCACAGTAAGAAAACGTATTCTGATGTTCAGCCGGCACCTCCTGTGTTTCAGTTTGTACCCATTGGCTTTGGTCTTATCACTGGGCACAACTCGAAAGAGCCTGGCTCCACCTTCTTTGGATCTTATCTTCAGGTATTTATATACATTGGTAAGGTCCCCCTGAATCTTCTCTTCTCCAGGCTGAACATTTCTGTACTTCAAGGTCATCAGTATTGGGTGCCCTCCTCAATTTCATCTTCCCCACTAGCCTGTACAAACTCTACATACACCCTACCAACCCTCTCTTACTTGAGACTGCTCAGGGATGAGGCAGACCAGGAGGGCTGGTCTATGAGGAAGGCATCTGAATGAAACTTTCTAGTTAAAATAGCAGATTTGATAGATATCCAGTAGAGCAGACAATAATACATCTCAAACATCTACACCATCACCAGAACAGATTCTGCTGTCCAGCAGCCAATGTCACAGAATCATAGAATCACAGAATGTTAGGGGTTGGAAGGGACCTCTGAAGATCATCTAGTCCAACCTTCACCCCAGCATACCTAACCACTACACCATAGCCTCAAGTGCTAGATCTACTTTTTTTTAAAACACCTCCAGGGTTGGTGACTCCACCACCTCCCTGGGCAGCCTGTTCCAAGTTCAGCACTGAGTCAAAGCGTGTTAGGGAATACTCACAGCAACCAAATTTGTCAATCTGTCTTATAATTACCTCTGCTTTACTCAAGGCTCTTGCATTTAAGTGAGAAATTTAGGAACACAGGTCTGGAGGGCACTTCCTGGATGGCTGAACATAGTCTCTGTGTTGTCAGATACAACACAGTATGTTACAGTTGATGAAATTTCATGTCTTCACAGAAATATCCATGAAGCCACAGAATAATTCACTTTAACTATCTTGTTTTCTTTACTAAAGTTTGCAATGCCTGAATACTTGGTTAAGGTTACATTTCGTTATCTACATATTTCAAAGTGAAAATCAGATCTAAACTGTCATTATTTTTAGTGACTGGTGAAGAATTTGTAAGCTTCAACATCCTCTAATGACAGATTGTTGCTTATATTCCTCTCTACAATAATGTTGCAGAGTTAAATCTGACACCCTGGGTATTTTCTGCAAGCATTAATTCTGCTAAAATACTTTCTTCGTGCTAGAAGTGCTCAATGCAAACCAAATCTGGTTTATTGACACGAGTCACTTATCACAAATTATCCTAATTTTTGATGTAATGCTACCAGCTCTATTTCCCTCCTTTCTGAGGAATCTATATTATTAAGTGACTCCCGTTACTGTTTCTGCTATGTTTTTACATATGTTTGTATATCTTGCACTAGTAGGCAAAGTTCCTCCATCTTGGCACTCATGTTGCTATCATTTATATACAAACACCTTCCTTATTTCTTCTTATTATTGTTTCTTTTGCACTCATTTTCCTGGTTGAATTTTTTTTATGAACTTCAGTGAACTGAATTGCCTACTTGTCTGCCTTTAATATTTAGAATTGTTTGAAGTCTGAATGCAGAGGAAAAAATGCAGATTAGATCTTTGTTGTTAATTTATGATCATATTCCAAGTTTAGTAGAAATTTCTCCATTGTTTCTGAAGTGTTTTGCATCAGTGTCTTTGTATCCGTGTTCCTGTGCTTAAAATATGACAGATGCTGTGAT